GGCCCTCATGGAAGGCTACCAGGTGCTGAGATTGGAGGACTGCGTTGAGTACGCCGACATCTTTTGCACTACGACCGGTAACAAGGACATCATCATGGTGAGCGACATGAGGAAGATGAAGAACAACGCCATCGTGTGCAACATTGGGCACTTCGACAACGAGATCGACATGGAGGGGTTGGAGACGTTTCCCGGGGTGAAGAGGATCACCATCAAGCCGCAGACGGACAGGTGGGTGTTCCCGGACACCAAGAGGGGTGTGATCATCTTGGCGGAGGGGCGTCTGATGAACCTGGGATGCGCCACCGGTCACCCGAGCTTCGTGATGTCGTGCTCATTCACGAACCAGGTGATCGCCCAGTTGGAGTTGTGGAACGAGCGCACGAGCGGCAAGTACGAGAAGAAGGTGTACGTGTTGCCGAAGCACTTGGACGAGAAGGTCGCTCTGTTGCATTTGGAGAAGCTGGGCGCCAGGCTGACGAAGTTGAGCGATGATCAGGCCTCGTACATCAACGTGCCGGTGGGAGGCCCATACAAGCCCGCCCACTACCGTTACTGAAGGGCCTCTGCAACCAGGCTTGGTTGGGGTGTTTGTAGGCTGCGGTACACTTTTGCTGTTTGTTTCTGAGAGCATCTAACTTGTCGTGACCGATTGGGGGGTCGACAAGGATGACGTTTTTTTAAAAAAGAGAAAGTTAAAAACCATTTATTTTTGATACACATGTCCTCTGGTCGGAGGTGGGTTGTGTATCGAATGTGGGGTTTTCGCGTGGTTGCTGTGCGTGTGTGGTGTCGATCTAGTGCCGCGGCATGTCGTAGCGGGTGCAGCTCGTGACGAGGTGCCGTGGTGGACGCCTGGGTGGGCCTTGGTTGCGGTAAACGCTGTCACAGTGGAGTAACATTTTGGATTATGAGAACGCACTGTCTTTCCGTACTGCCTGGTACAGGGGGACAGGCGTGGCCCAAATGGGGGGGGGTGTCTATAAGGTGTCGTCATAAAGTGCTGTTCAGTAGAGCAGTCAGGGGTGTGGTTCGTGTGCGCGACCTGTTCAGACTGCCGCGTTCCGCACAAGGGGAGGCTACTGTTGTGTGTGTGATTGTGCGATTCGTCGAGGCCATGAGCTTGGTTGGACTGAGTGGCAAGAGGGATGTCACCGCTGGTGACTGCCCATTTGCGAGTTCGTCACGGGCAACCCTCTTCCCCCCCCCTTTCCTCGGGTGCACTTGAATCGTCTGGGGGGAGGGGAAGAGGGATGGGAACTTGCTTGAGCGCCGAATGCGGGACAAGGCGGGTTGCCCTTCACATTCGGGTATGTCCCCTTTTGAGCCTGAATCGTCGGCTGTTTCGACGCGGTTGTACTAATTCATGGAGCATCCACACCCACGGGCGTGTGTGGGATTCCCCCTTCCGTGTCGCTTGGCAGGGGTCGATGAGTAGGTGGCATTCGAGGAACTCACTTGGAAATGGTTACTCAGCTTGGGTTACGGAACATATCTCACATGTCCTAGGTCGCAGTGACCACCGTGTGCATGTCATGCATGCTTGAGGGTGGTTTCATGCCAGTCACAGTTTACATGACGCCCTTGCGATGAGGGCATATGTTTTGAAAGTCTACTTTCTGGTAACTAGCCTCGTATTCGTATTGCGCTTCTGGCAAGTAACACCCTGATGAGTCCAGGGTATCTAACTTTTGGTACTCCCGAGTTGTCCCGTTGAATCAGTAGGCAGCTGTTTCCAGCGAATTTTGAGACATGAGCGTCGCAACTTCTGGCTGTGGTGCCCCTAAACCTTTTCTTTCGGTCCTTTGTGTTTAAGTGTTTTGGCCAAGGTTACTTTGACATGTCACTGTGTCAGCAGAGGCTTGAAGTGGAATGTTAGAAGCAGTGGAGTTATTGCCTCTTTCTTTTCATAGTGGAATGGTGTTGTTGCTTGCTTTATTGTTGCGTTTGTTGGTATGCTCGAGGTATATCTCTCTTCACAATGTATCAATGCTGAAGGTGTATACTGATGGTATGTATGTATGTAGTTTTTTTTGTTTTGTTTGTTTGTTGAAGTATGTTACGGTACTATATGTCCCAATAGTTTGTGGCTTGAGCTATTTTGCATGTCTGTCTTTCCATGTATCACTTACATGATTATATTTTATAGGTTGATGTTTACAGCGAGTATTTTGAGCTCTCATCATTGAATTTGATAATTTGGGATCAACATTCCTTTATGTCGTCGACAGAGTTTGTTTGAATATTTCCCATTTTGGAATGCTTTCTAATTTTTATTCGAGGTTTATATGTCTGTCTTGTGAGTTTAATATAGGACTTTCAAAATCACTCGGTTCAATTTATGTCTCTGGTTTCTTTTTTGATGCTTAGTATTTTTAAATAATGTACAATCTCAGCTATCCTAATATGTGGTCAGTCACAGGTAATAACTTATCTTGTGTACAGGATATTTTTGTGTGGCTTTGAGCAGGAAGAATGTGAGATAAATGGGGTTGGATATAAAATAAGGAAAAATTAGAATGGTTGTTGTGAAATAGTAGATTAGAGTCTGTTGAAAAAAGGATAAACTAGTGAAAGATCTTGATGAGAGGTGCAATTACTGTAGTTTTGCACCATATACAAAAGGTTTGAAGATTGTCTTTTAACATTTTTATATAAACCAAAAAGCTAGTTGTCCAATCCTTTAGTAGCTTAAGTAGCTTCTGTAATGCTGGGGCTCGTTGAATGCCATCCAGTGCTTGACTTCATCGCCGAATGCAGCGAACCAAGTCTCGGCGTACAACGCAAAATCATTCCTATCATGACCTTGGAAAAGATCAATTAGCTTTAATTTTTTTGAATGAGGTCGGAGCTCTGTGAAGTAGGTTCTTAGAGTTAACCAAAACAATCAAGAAACTTGAGAGAGGATGGATGTTGAAACTCACACAACTCTGCGGTCAATCCAGCTGGATTTGAAGCATGAAGAGACTGCGGAAGTCCTTCAAATCATATAATTGTCCCTTTTTAAGACGAGTAGATAATTTTTTTATAGAATCTCAAGGTTTTCTCTAATTAAGTATATATGGATGTTGTCTTTCCAGGTTGGAGAACCATTTATATTGTATCTTAGCGTTTATCTTAATAACATTTTTAATTTTAATTTTAATTTGGCTTGATTTGGATATTGTAACAATTGAAACAAACAAAGGGTGTTTTTTTGGTACTCGTACAATTAACAACTCTTAACACCAATTTTCTTTTGTTTCTCTATTCTTCAAAACATTTCTAGAAGTCAATTCTAGTACTTATTTTTTCTTATTTTGAATCCATCTTATTGCTAATGGTGTATCTTTGATTCTAATAAATCTTGTTTATAAAATTTAATTAAATGAGAGATTAAATTGACATATTCATAACATATTTAGATGGTTCCAAGATGTGTTTATTATAAATATATCAATCTCAATGTTTAAGATTTTTAAATTTAAATCTTGACATTGTCTTAAATCCAAGACATCTTGCACTTCAAATACTTCAATGTTATCTATTTTAATAAGCAATGATGGTAGTTGTTTCTTTTATGATATGTTGATTGTATTTCAAGACATTAATTAAGGCACAAAGATTAGAAGATAAATATCTTTTACCATTATTATTTGAAATAGATATGCAATTAAATATTTATGATAAGCAATATTAATGTATTTTTTAATAATAAATAGACCAAACCTTCAATGAACCAACTTGTCACAATGTTGATTTATTTAGATGTTATGACAAAGTAATTATAATTTATTATCACTTTTGAATGGAAGTCATTTTTTCTTAGAGTTATATATTAACTTTTTATTGTTTTTGAGCTATCTTTAGTTTTACTTTTCTTGTGTTTGAAGCTCTATAATTATACTTGCTAAATAGATTACTACTATAATTTTAACTTTTGAAAAGTCAAAAAGTATGGAATTTTGGATAACAACCACAATTTGCAAATACAATTAGAAAATTGTATTATATTATTGCATGAAGATTTTCCTGCTAGTAATATGATAGTTATATAATTGTCTTGTTGATAATTTATTGTACATTGGAGAAGTTATTCTAATACTTTCTTTAAACATTGTTTTTTTTACTTAATCTTTTGTATCTTATATTTTCTAAATAAATTGAAGATAAAGCTTTGATATCAACCTTTAATTTGTTTAGTTACATCTTTCTAAATCTTGATACCAAAGAGATCATTAGGTAAACATAATGTCTATCAGATTTCTATGATATCAATTAATATATATTTTTTAAAAACAAATCATTGTTTCTTTATTATTAATAGAATTGTTTTCTGTAAAGCAATTCTTAGTTTGGTTTGACAATCTATCATTACAAATATTTTCGTTGTAATATTTTGATATGGAAATATTATTAGTAAAATCCATTTAAAAAATAATCACAATTGTTTTGGAAGAGGTAGAGGCTGAAAAAATCTAAAAGATTTATAATAATGAATGTTTGCTTATGTTCAAGTATTGCAAGACGAAACAAATGTTTTGAATTTTAATTTGTATATAAGGTTATTTTTATTTTTTGAAATAATTTGTAAATTAATAGAATTATGTTTCATAGTTTGGACACAATTCAATTGTGCAAAATCATGCTTAAGTTTTGAATTACTTACTTATCTTTTATAGAAATAATAATTTCTTTGAAAAATATCATACTAATTTTAATCATTACAAGACATTTTAGAACATCTAAAATAAAAAAGTTTATTTTAAAACTTAAATATATATTATTTAAAAAAGTAACATGAACTAAAATTGTTGACTTTATATGTTGAAGACGCAATTGCAATGGTTTTAAAGTGATGGTTTATTGTTAATTATACTTAAGGAGGAAATGAGCAGTTTTCACGGTAGAGTGTAGGTCCTTGAATTTGATTTTCTTTCGAAAGCAGAATGGAGGAATCAAAGAACACGAGAGGTTGGATACATATTCGATACCAAACTTACTAATTTTCAATGAAATTGTGATGATCGATTGAAACAGTATGTCTTGAAAATTGTTGAAATTGTTCTGCTGTGCATTCTAGTGTGCTACATTGTAACTTATAAGCTACAGATGGGAGGTCTTCGAAGCTTTGATCGATGCTTTAAATTCATTCCAACATTAATCAAGTCCATGTGGCTGAATTTTGCTTTTCAGCCAACAGTTTTGGAAAATGATACTTAGTGATTGAACTACTTCGGTGATCGGACTAGTTGCCATGTACAAAATTCCTCCCACAGCACAGAAATGACCACTTCTTTCCATGTTGACAGTTTCAACATCCTCGGCGATGTTCCTCGGCGATGCTCCTGCAGCGCTTAGCTCTGTTTGTGATCAGTCTTGCGGGTCATTCTCTGTCTTCAATGCTCATATAAATGTGTACAGTTGACGCGTACCCTGTGGTAACTTGTATGACATTCACCTCGAATCTGGACCGGCAAGCAAGTTGAATGCCACACTACTCGCCATTTGTGCGGGTAGCAGTAGAGCTCGGTGCTTGGCCCAAAGTGGGAGCTGCATATTCCAGAAGTCGTTGAGAAGTTGGAAAAGTTGGTTGTTGATAATCAAGGAAAATCGAAGGATTAAGTATGCCAGAATCGTTGAGGGATTATGTATACCTGGCTGAAACACATTGCTAAAGGGCCCAAGCACTGAACCATGTCAGAGGCAAGTCGTTCACAGATCTGAGACAAATCACTCGCTCTTAACTTTCTCCCTTGCCTGTCACTGGTCTGCACAAACACAAAATGGCTCAGACATATCACAGGATTGAGAAAATGACGGGTTGAGGGCGATAATACACCGTTTAAAAGTTGAAGTTGGAGGAGTGATGCCTGAAGAAACGTCGAATGAGACGTTGATTATACCTGAAGGATCTCCATAAGGTGATTGAGGTCATGGTCGTAAGTGCTCTGGAACGGCAAAGACGTTAGCTTGAGCATTCTCTGAACCTGCTCGAGATCGTCCTCCGCAATGGTTGAGAACTCCGGAATTGCCATTTGAATTGGTGCGGTTGATTCAGCTGCAACTGCTGTGGACACTCGAATAAGGGCTGCCAAGCCCTTTCCCATCTGGTTGATTACTTTCTGTCGCATGGCATCGTTCTGCGATTATCGAAGCTAAAATGCATCAGGGTGAGCATCCAAAATCCATGCTCCATGAACAAAATTTACAATTGGACGGCAATGGTAATCATGCACAATGTCAGACTCTCTCAAAAATGTTGACTCACCTCCGTTCCCAGACAGTGTTGTAAGGCGTCTGTCACAATTAGCGTCACGGCATCCTCGATACACTTGCAGTTGCCATAATCGTCTCGAGCTGCTCTACACCCGACAGCCTGCAAATCAAACGACGACAATTATTTCCACCATCACTGCAAACAAACTCGCAGTCAAGGCGCAATTTCATCGGTTCGGAGAGAATTTCACTTGCGAACATATGACTCGTCAGATACTGTTGTGATGAAATGAGAGATGATCGTTATCAAACTGGCTTTGGAGAGAAAACGAAGCATGATATGAGCTGATTGCAACATGTTGGAAAGAATATATGAATAAAGTAAATGATTTTAGAATGAGCTTACGTATCGAGGTTTTTCTATTCTATTTGTGGTCTTGGTGGGTTTTCTTCCAAAAACTTGGGACTTAATTGGATCAATTTTGAAGAAGGTACGGGCAGGAGCGCGAGTGATGCCTCGGTGTATGAAGGATCCGCCGAATTCAATCCTGTCTTGTTTAACTGTTGAGCTTGTTTGCGAATTAGGCATCCCATATGTACGAATTGATGGAATTGCAGCCATTGTGCCAAATATGTTGGATGAAGACAAGAGACTAACTTCAATTCTCAGCAATTTCACTATTTCCGACTCACTATTGTCGCCACAACTGCCAATCTAAAAATTTGGTTTAAGGACAACGCAAGCCGATCGTACCCCTCAATTACTAGAACTACACGCCGTTCGTCCAGATTTCACAGAATGGACGCGGATGTTCAGATTCTCTCAATGGAATGATAACCCACACAACGCTTCGGAATTTCGCTCAGAACTGGACACAAATGCAGTAAGCAATAGAGTTTCGTCGCAGCTGGACCATGATTTCCAAACCCTCCCAAGCTTCCGATTGAGAATTCTCAAATCAACTACCCCTCTTCGACACTTGCGCGCTACTTGCAATCAGTTCAGAGTTCGGAAGCTCAGCAAATGGTCGCAGCAGCAGCTACACCAATTCTCTCAGGTCGTCAGCACTCACACACTCGTGCATCAATTGAGATTCTATTCCCATGATTTGTCAGCTGCGGCACTTATATAACTTCCTGGATCAGACAGCGCGTAGACGACAAGCAAGAGCCCGCAGTCTCCAACAGACCCTCTGACCTTCCAAAAGGAGTATCTGGGTAAACAACCGCTAACACCCACCATTGAAGAATGTAAACGATTCCCGAGCAGATTCGTTCCATCCCCACCAATGTAAAACCGAGTAGTTCCTATTGATAGCAGTGGTTCAAACCATGTTTCCCAATGAAGGGTCGCGATCACGTTAGTTCGAATACGATGCACCTTACACCTTACACCTTTTGACCTACTCGAGTAGGTCGCAGACACACCTTACTTCCCAGGAGGTTTGTCTTGTGGAGAAGTAAGGTGTGCTGCGACCTACTCGAGTACCCGACCTCCTCCGCTCTGGTCAACCGCCGCAAATACCACCTCCTCCACTTTGACAGCGCTGAAGACGCAACGCCACATTTAGCCTTTCCCGATTCCTGACCAGAAGTTCTTCGTTTGCTTGGACACCACTTGCGGCGGGTCTAGTGTGCGGTCACGCCAACAAGGAACGTTAACGAAGGCATACGCCTGAAATCTGGGATAGATAGATGAATGAATAGAAACGCTACCGCGGAGGAGGGTGAGCTCTCACTCCTGCGCATTTTCGATGAACGTTGGGATTCGGAAAGATGGGATGTGAAGTCGACACTGTTTCAGAAGGTTCTTCCGGGTCTTTTGGGCAACCAACGGCTGCAATTTGTGAATTCGAACTGGTTCCAGTAATGGTAACACGGTGTGCCAGGAGAGCTCAGTAGGGTCCAGCTTGCGGATTCCTCCTATTTAGGAGTTAGTTGATAACCCCACTGCAGTGACATGGAGTCATATTTTGACCTAAATCGTCAAGCGCTTCACTGGTGACTCAGAGTTGACTGCATTCTGTGTTTGTGTGGACGTACGAAACTTCGCTTTTGACCACTGGAATGATGGAAGTGAACCTCCTCTTAAACACTTTCTTGGGGCATTATTTGAGAACTGTTTCCAAGTTTTTGGAATGAGATCTTTTATGCCATGGTGGGAAGCTCCTGTCGAATAGAAACTGTTTATTTGGGTTGCAAGATACTATTCCACTTGTGTGCTTGAAGGTCTTTCTGTGGGGGAAAATAAGAGGGAAAAAAATTAAAGTTTCATGGTGCACTGCTCTCAAGTCCTCCTACTGTGAACAGGTCTTTTTGGGTGATACTATCATAGCTTTCTAGATACAATGCATTCAACAATTCAGGAATCCGCAACTATTTATCCCACAAATGCCCCAGTTGCTCGGTGAATCCAATCATCACCACACGGCAGTCATAGGGTTTTATCGACTTTTTTAAAAGAAAAAAGTATGATTTGTTTTGAAGTGACATGAGTCATTTTATGATCAGTCGAAATTCTGGGAGAGTTGATGTGACAAGAAAATAACGGAAATAAATATGATAACTTTTGATGGGAAATGTTGAACCAATCCTTACAACATAAAGTCCAAGTGGCTAGTTATTCATTTTATATGTATTGTTGGTTTTGAAGAAAAAATAAACAAACATGAAAAAAAGTCTAAAAGCCAAGTGTTGCATTTGAAAAACATGTCATCAATCTTTAGTTGGATGCAAATTTGACTAAAAACTTCTTCCTCTACAAACTCTGGTTATTACCATTATTGTTGATGTGCCCCTTGGTGCTTTCAAAGGTCCCTCTTTTCCTTTCCATAAACCAATTCCAATATTTCAAAACGCATGGACAACTATTCCCTTTGAGGTTTTTTGGAAACTCAGGCCCAAAACAAATTTCTTTTGTTTCATTCTAAAATTTTTTTCCTGGTTTTTTCCTGTTTCATGATTGTTGTTTCCAAAACAGATCATATGTCTTAGGAATAAAATTGATTCACTTTGTTTGCTCAAGAAATTCCAGTTTGTACTCTTTTTTCAATATAAAAAAGGAAAGAAAGTACAGTATAATTTTTTACCCCAGATATTTTTACTAATAAAAGACAGACACATCAACCTTTATAGTTCATATTGAAACCCTTATATTATATTTAATTATCCAAGCACTGTCTATTTTTTCCAGAGAGTGATAGGTTGTTGCTAAAAATTAGAAAAGGGAAAAGTAAAAAGCGGTTTCTTTGAGTGGTTCAAAGAGCAATTATCACATATTTTACAAATTGCTGATTAAACTTGTAACAGAAAACTGAAACATTCATACACAAGAGATTTTACAATTTTTTAAATTTAGTAGAAGTGACTTGTGACATATTTCCAGCACTTTGACGATAAATTTGTGAATGCGATAAATGTTGAATGTCTTTAACAGTGTCACTATATTTAGATGCACTTCTTTGAATGCAGCAGTGGTTTCGACAAAGCAATCACAGACAAAACTTGTCGACGGTCTGCGCATCAGCAACTGAATCGTAGACACTGCTTGTTGGCAAAGGCAGGAAATAGTTTTGTTCATATAAGCTTGTAAGGTAGTCACGACCTGCATTCAATCCAATCGAAGAGAAAAGGAACCCTGTGTTGTCTCCACATTCTTCATTTTGTTCCACACTGGGTATTTCGATGGAGGCGAGTAGGTACCACCTATAAAGTATCTTTTCCCCGAAGCTTCTGCAGCGGCACCGCCAACTCATAATAGCGCGGATATCCGGTGGTGTAAAACATTTATGCAGCGTCTTCGGTCGGATTCGCCAGAAAGACAGCTTGGCTTCTTGGTGGTGAATCGCTGCGGTGCAAGGTCAGCCCGACGATCCACCGAGCCTTACGAAGATGGAAATCCTGAAATAGATATCGCTTGGCAGTTTCTTCAAATATGGAATCCTTCAGAAACTACCTGTCGCTGTTCATGTCTGTACCTGCCAGTATTTTCCTTCCAACACTATTGGCACCAATCACTAAAACAATACACGAGAACTTAAATAAACAAAGTGGATCATTACCTAGTTGTGAATGAAATAAGGAATAGTTTGACCTTGAATTTATACATGATGGCAAGATGTACCAAATTATGCAGAATAGTATCTTAGAGTTTGTATCTAAGTGTGCAGAATAGTTTCACAAAGGTGATATTTAGCTAAGCAGAATAGTTTCATAAAAGTTGCAATTAAGTATACAAAATTGTTTCAAAGATGTTGACTTCTAAATCTCAGTTGTAAAATCTACACCATGCTACTTATACTTCACCATGAAAGTATTACAAATCTTAACCATATGACATTTTTTTTCAAAAACTCAACTCCACATAGTTTAATTCTATTTAAAATCTATACAGAAATAAATTTAATTTTCAAACATGAAGAAGAACTACTATCATAGATATACATAGATACTATAGATATTAGATTCAAAGTCTTGTTGTATCCAAAATGTCTAGTTACTAGAAAATTATGACAAGCTTGAAAAACATGTAATGTAATGGATGTACATAGGTATTCTATTAAATACCTACATGATTAGGTAGAAGTAGGTAAAAATAAATAAAAGTAGATTGATTTCATAATATTTTCTAGTAAAGCTTCTTAGAAGCTTCATAGACGTTGCTTTGACTTTACATGTGTTTGTAGTTGATTGATAGGTTAGAAACTTAGTCAACAAGTTAACCACATGTTGGTAGCTTGTGAAACAAGCTAACTATGTGGCGTACATATAAAAAAATTGTCTTGCACGTTAAGATACATGTCTTGCAAAATCAACATATTTTTGAGGTTCTATAGAATATCGCCATATAGCTCCTAGTTAAGAGTATATATGTAGACAAGCGTGAAGCCCTCTTCATTCTTGTCAACACCACTCTAGTCTTTAGTCTTGTTTCAAAACTTTCTAGTCTTCTTGTTTTTGGCAATAGCCATTGTAGTTCAATATTATATCATCTTTGAGTGACTTTCTAATTCTTTTCAATGATACAAGAGTGTATTGAAGATTTTCTTTCTTCAAAATTCATATCCTTGGTAGTTTGATAAGAATACTAATTTACTATTTTTATCTTATTTAAAAAATGAGTAAATTATTCCACTTCTATTATTATGCTTTGAAGGTTACTAACTATCATCTTTTAAACAAAAAATCTTGTTTTCTAACATTGATGTTTTTCTTAAAAAGAGAGGATTATTTTTCTTTGTGGAAATTTTTATTTGACATTAGAGGTTGTAGATTACTCCACTTTAATGTAACTTTTTGAATTTGTTTGAATTATCTATGAAAAGAAAGATTATGGATACTATTCTTAATAGAAGTGAGAATAGATTTGAAACTATTACAAATCTTCATGAGCTTGTTAACACTCTAATAGTAAAAATCTTACATATTTCAAACATGAATCATGGAGGTACTATTTCTATACCTATGAAAAAAGTTCAGAATCTATAATAAGAAGTTGTGCAATTGAAGGAAGCAAGTAGATTGACATCACAACCAAATCCAATGAGTTTTGCTTCTACAAGTATGACGATGACAAGGATTAGTATGCTTGAAAATTTTGATAGAACAAAATCAAAATTTCAAGAATTTTTACAACAAGTCAAGTTCTATCTAAGGTTCTATTCCTTCCAGTATCTCGATGGATTTACTCAAGTCGGATTCATAGGCGCATGTCTATCAAAATGTACTCTTTCGTGGTTTATACCTTACATGGAAAAAGATTTATAACTCTTTTATACTTTGAATTCATTTCTAGAAGTATTTATGGCTACATTTGGAGATAATAATTGAAAAAGAATAGCAGAGACTAAGTTCTTATCTTTACAACAAGGATCATGGTTAGCCACCATATATCCTACTGAATTCCAAAACCTCACTTGTAATGTGGATTGGAATGATAAAGTCCTTATCAATCAATTTTGATATGGGTTGAAGGATAATGTGAAAGATTTTTTACTCATAATGCCAAAGATAGAATCTTTAGAAAAATTTATTGCTCAAGCCATTGCATGCAACAATCAATTATTTGAAAGACGTTGTCGTAATACGAGAAGTCTTGCTTGAAAATGCTCCGAGCTCCTAGCTGTGGAAGGAAGAATGGAAATTGTAATAACAAAATCCTAATTCTAATAGAATACTAACAATGCTCTAATTAAATCATAATAATACTAAGTAAGCTTAATCAAATTCAAAAAAAATCTCAAAGAAATTTCAAATAAATAATAAAAATTCTTAAAGAAATATTAGAAGCATCACAAATATAACTCAAATACATCTCAATTCAATCTTAATTTAATTCTAATTAAAATTCTATTGAACTTCATTAAAACTTTAGG